AAAAAAACGTCTCAGATTCGACAAATTACCGTAAATCTTTTACCTTAACCTATAGATTTGTTGAGCATAGGTTAATTCGTAGATAAATTTGTAACTTTCACGTGCCGATCTTTTTAGATCCCAACAAGTGGTACCAGATCCCACGTTTAACGCATTTTTGTGCAAAGTTCGAATTTTTAAGGCTTACGTGGATTATGTGTGTTCAAGCGCAGTCATAATTTAGATTATATATATGCATAACCCAGTTTTGCACGAGTAGTTTAATTCACTATTATGTCTTATGTGATTATGTGTTTGATAGTATTGATGTAATTTATTTTATTGCATGGTTTTTTAAGCCTCAGGCATGTCGAGGATGATGGTTGAATGTTTGTAATATTTATTCACCCGGTGGGACACCAGATAGATTTATTCGCTTTCTTGGACAAAAATGTAAATCCATCTGTGGGTCTTGGATTAAAAATTTACAATTTTGAATTTGTTTATATTGATCGTGATCTTGTGCGGATCAATCGAGAGATCAAGAAGACCGACAGATACTCGATGACTCGACCGAACTCGAGAACCCTCGGCCGTGCAATGGGACTGCGCGAGCATGCGCGGGCGCATGGATGGGTGCTACCGAGTTCGCTCGAGCAAGGCTCACAGGACCCTGGACGTGCGAGATTCTAGAGGAACCCTGAGACCTGGCGGATGTGCTCGGAGCACAGGAAGAGACGCGAGCAGGTCGTCATGCTTGGCGCGATAGTGACCCGGCAAGTGAGTCAACCTCCCAGTGCGCACCGGAGCATGGAGCGACTTCTGACGCGTGTGTGTGGTAGCAGGCGGCGACGACCCGACGGACACCACGACTGGCCGTGCGATAAACGCTCAGACGCCAGACCGTGTGCGTGAGTTGTATGGGGACGCTAGGCTGCAGCTTGCGCAAATCAACACGAAACACGCTCACGATCCACCGAGAAAATTTTTTTCGGCGACTTCACGACGGCGGCTTCTGACTAACAGCGGCGGCTTCCCCACGACGGCATGTGGAGACTTTTCGGACAAGGCGACAATCTTGGACAAGAATTTTACTACAGTGGGAGTTCTTTGTGGACCAAGAAAATCATATGATTTGATCTGATTCTTTTCTTATCCACTAGGATTATTTAATTAATGGCCATAATAGTGGATTTAATTTTCGTGTGTTTTATCATGTCCTTATGCATGCTAATTAATTTATTGCTTTGATGCATGTGATTAATTATGAAATGCATAATTAAAAAACCTCAATAAATTACTAAGTTGAGAAGGAAATTTTAAATTTTGTCAACTTAAAAAGATCTAAGGTCTCCATTACCGATTTGTGGTGATGTAATTAATTGCGAAGTGGGCCTCCCCAACGGCGGAATCTATCGAATATAATAGTAAGATGCTAGAACAAACTTCGAAATGATGATCGTAGGAAATATTATTGAGTGTGTGGACCTCCCTAACAGAGGACACACAATCAAAGAATAGTTACCTTAGGATCAAGTAATGTTTTCACTAAGAACGTAATAAAAGAACTCCTCCTCAACAGAGTCGATGGACTTTTATTATGTGGCCAAAAGGAAACCGACTATGGATATTATTTACCATGAATTAGATTTTGGCTCATAAAAGTTAATGGGTATTTGAAACACCCTTATTTTACAAATGTTGAGCAAGCATAGAGTCGCCCAACGCGGCATGCGCAAACTATCGGTATTATGAGATGTCAGTGATTTAAGTTAATGTTATTTTCAGGATATCAATATTAACAAGTTAAATTCAATTGTTTAATCAGTAAACTTTTTCATGATTCTAAGGCTATATTCATCATGTCTTTCAATCTGTTGTCTGTGATTCTATTAGAAAATAAACTTAATGGTTTTAATTACACCGATTGGAGAAGGAACTTAGGCATAGTTCTGACAGTAGAGGGACGCAATTGATGTTCACTCAGGTCTGTCCGAATGTCATAGATGATAACGCTACAGATCATGAGAAAGAGGCGTATCAGAAGTGGATCAAGGCTGATGAGATGGCTCGCTGCTATATATTGGCCTCTATGACCAATGTGCTGCAGCACCAGCATCAGACCATGGGTTTTGCTTATGAGATGCTTATGAATCTCAATGACATTTTTGGCCATTAGTCTAGGGCAGCCCAACAGTAGGCTATGAATTTTTTTTTGTCAACCTCTATGGTTGAGGGTACTTCCGTAAGGGATCATGTCCTTAGGCTAATAGAGCAGTTCAATAAACTGAATGTCCTAGGAGGATAAATCGACGGGGAAACCCAGGTCGATATTATCCTCAATTTGCTGCCTAAGAGTTTCGACCAGTTTCACCTGAACTACAACGTGAATAAGATGTTGCTATCATTGCTAGAACTTCTGGGGGAAATCCAAGCGGTGGAGCGGCTTTTTCTTCAGAATTCTCAAGAGCTTGTGTCCTCAAGAAGAAGAGGCAATCTGCTAAGAAGGCTGAGAAAGCGCCAATGCCCGTTGTCGCTCTGACGAATGGACCATCGAGAATGATGAAGCCAAAGGGTAAGTGCCACCGTTGCGGGATGTCAGGGCACTGGAAGGCCAACTGTCCCAAGAAGGAAAAGGAAGATAATTCCTATTCTTTTGTCGCAAAAACATGTTTAAAGATTGTGTCTGCCAGTACCTAGTATGTAGACACTGGAGCTACTGATCATGTCTGCAATTCGTTGCAGGGTTTCTAGGAAACCAAGTGGCTTAAGGAAGGGGAGATTACCGTCTACATAGTTGATGCTGTGAAAGTGTCAGTAGTTGCAATGGGAGACGTTACTCTAGATTTTTCCACTAGTATTTTGGTTTTGAGACATTGCTAATTTGTTCATTTGTTTAGAAAGAATCTTATTTCAATTTTTAAACTTGTTATGGATGCTTTTTTATTTACGTTTAATGACAAGGTCGTTATTCGTTATGCAAAGCGTTTCATATGTGTTGATTTATTATTAGGTAATTTATATGTTCTTAGACCAAAAACTCCCACACTGCAACAAAAAGAACTAAATAACACAACGACTAAATCAATTAAGAGAAAAGAACCTTCGAAAATGAATCAAGCATATGTCTAGCACCTTAGACTTGGACACATCAACCTTAGTATGATTCATAGGTTGGTATCTAATGGGTCTTTAGACCCATTAGAAGCTACATACCTTACCTGCGAGTCTTGCTTAGAAGGAAAGATAGCTAAGCAAACACTTACGGCCAATGGACGTAGGTGCGAGAGTGTGCGAGAACTCATTCGTTCTAATTTACGTGGCCCTATGTCGATCCATACTAGAGGGGGTTTCGAGTACTTTGTCACCATTATTGATGATTACTCGAGATATGGGTACATATACCTAATGCACCGCAAGTCTGAATGCTTCCAGAAATTCAAGGAGTATGAGACAGTTCTGGAGAAGCAACATGCTAAAAGTATCAAGTCACTTCGATCTGATCAAGGAGGTGAGTACCACTTAGGAGAGTTTAGGACAAATTTTCGGAGGCTTGGATTGAATCTCAACTCACTTCACCCGACACGCCTCAGCAGAATGGGGTAATGAAAGAATAGAACTCTTGCGAAAATGGTGAGGTCGATGATGAGTTATTCAACTCTTCCTACATCGTTCTGGGGAATGGCTCTCGAAACAACCGCGCACATTTTGAATCTTCTTCCGTTCAAGTAAGTTGCCACTACTCCTATTGAATTGTGGTCAGGGCACAAGCCAAGTCTATCACACATTAGATTTTGGGGTAGTCCAATACATGTGCTACGACAAGACACTAACAAGTTGGATAAGCATACAGAAGTTTGACTATCTACCCTAAGGGAACAAAAGAATGTTTATTCTATAGTCCCGAGAATCAGAAGGTGACCGTTAGCACGAACGCTAAATTCTTGGAAGAAGACTATGTTATGAACCATAATCACACGAGTAGACTTGTCTTCGAAGAACATAGGGGAGAAAACGCTAGTCCCTTACCGAGTGCACAAGTAGACACACCACACACTACTGCAACACGCAATGCTGATCATGTACCTGTACAAGCAGTACCTCATTGCAGTGAAAGGGTTGTTAGGATGCCCGATCGATTTATGTTCCTTGGAGAGTCTTCAGACTTAGTCCCAAGTGAACTAGAATCGGACCCTCGAACTTTTGATGAGGCACTCCAGCACAAGGATGCCATATCATGTGCAAAATGCAATGAATACTGAGATGGTGTAAATGGACTCCAGTTAGGTCTGGGATCTTGTAGAACTACCCGATCGGGTATGACCTATTGGGTGTAAGTGGGTCTACAATAGAAAGAGAGGATTGGATGAGAATGTGGAAACCTTCAAAGCTAGGCTTGTTGCGAAAGGATATACTGAGAAAGATGGAATTGATAATGGTAGAATGGTGAGGGAATATTGTATAGAATAAATGAAATGTTTTGAAGTACAAAAACACCTTCAATATAAAAGTACAATTTTTTAATGCACTAACAACGCGTTTTTAAACATTAGTTGTAAATATAATTTATCTGTTGGCTTGGCCAGAAACTGGAACTGACTGGTTCTTGAACCAGAACATTCATACCTACGGACCAGTTCTGGTTCCTCATTTTATGGTCTATCGACCCGTCAGGTTGGGCCTCGGGTTGGTTTCCCTTGGCCATATCTTGATGTTAGGTAGGATGCATGGAAGGAGTAGGAGATGGAAGAAAGATGAAAACAATAATTTTTTATTTTTTATTTTTTTGAAACGATAGAGAAATTTATAACCAAATAAAAAATCCAAAGTACAACCCCCGAAACGAGTCGGACACCCACAATACAGCTGAGAGACACACCCATCGGTGGTCTAGAAAAAAAAATAACATAGACACACAATTATAGACTGAAGCAAACTCAGAAATCTATAATTGCCAAAAAATAAAAGAAATGAAAATATAAAGAACAAATGTCTAGCTACTGAATCAACCTAGCAATCACCTGCTCCCTCCCAACCCCTGCAAACTCTTCACTTCAATAAACTCTTCTTCACTTCAACAAACTCTTACCAGTCCCTGACAGCCATCTTCACAATAGTCATCTCAAACATCCTTACTCCTTCATTTACTGTGTGGGCAAATTGGACCTATACAACGTCAGCCTATTTGGGCCATTTTAATTTTTTTAAAAACTAAAGCAAATAGCATAATACGCTAGATTGGAAATTGTAACGACTCGCAACCTAAAAGTAAAACGCCTTAGCATAGCTGCGCTCATGACAAAATTCATTAAATGTAAATTATGCTTACGACCCAAAGTTCATTATATTTAAATTATGATTACAGCTTAAAATTTTACGTGGTATAAAATATAAAATATTCTAGGTCTTGATAAATAAATAAAATGCTGAAGCATATATTGATATTAACTAGTTTATTTTCTTAAATTCAATAAAGAGCTTT